GCCAGGGCCAGGCACTTGGCAGCACTCAGTGTCTTGAATGTGAAGCTGTTCAGAGACTCTTTCCACTGCAGTAAGTTGTGCCTTGTGGATCACCTGGCCCCAGCTTGCCTGAGAGAAAGGGAAGGAGAGCCATGGTGTGTGATACTGACCCTGTGCCAGGTGGCACGTGTCCTCAGTGCCAGCGCAGCAAGGAGGGTGCATGGCAGACATGATGCCATCTGTCTCAGGCTGCCTGCATGGATTGCCCAGTTGCCTGGAGTGTCCAGAGTATTGATCCAAACATTGCAAGGTGTTTAATGTGCAGCCAGGTAGCTGAAGATCCATAGGGGTGTCTCAGCATAGCAGGCTATTGCAAACTAGCCAGAGATTATCTTAATATGGGTTAGAGGTCTTTGTGGATGTCCCTGGAGTTCAGGGAATAATTTTAAGGAATTTGCAGGGGGCATTATTGTCTTGGAGCCTGTGCTTGGCCCCTGTGGTTAGTGAGCTCTGTGCTGCAGGAGGGCTGTTGTCTTGAAGAAGATTCCACCCTGACCACAATGTGGCCATGAAAGGTCCCAGGGGATTTTAAGAAGTCAGTTGTGAACCTCAGTGTTTGAGCTGTAGCTGAACTCAGATAGGATATTTCCCCCTTTGAACTGTTTCAGTCAGAAATAGGATAGCTTTTACCTTCCTGCTCTAGGCTGCTGTTCAGTGCGTGGTGCAGCATTATTTAATATCTGCCACATTATACTCCAGAAAGAACTGATTAATTGTAATCTCTGTTGTAATAGCTGTGAGGAGTGTTGGTGTGCCAGGCACTGTACAAAACTTGCTGTTACAGGTTGCTTACAAGTCAATCACTGCATTGCAGTGGTGGGGTAGTGTGATGCTGAGCTATAGCTTATTACTAATCTGTGAGGGTAAGAATTACAATGCCGGGGGAAAAAGAGCACTCGAGCTGACTGCTTCAGCAATGGCAAAGAAGGGGTTATTTCTACAAGTTGAGGACTGGCGTACAGAGATGAAGGTAGTGATGAAGTTCAAGAGGTCTGAGTTGGTGGGAAGAAGAAATGGAGCAATAGATTTGCAGGGCTGGGAAAGGTGGCTCACCCTGGTGAGCTGGAACCAGATGATACCTGTAGAGCAGGTGTCCCTGTGACTGTGTCTGGAGGGCTGTAGTGGAGCCCCAGCAGAAGGCTTGGTGTCACCTCCTCCTGTTTGAAGAACTGAAGGATGTGGGGTCACTCCCAGGAGGTGCAGCCTGGTGGCCTTGTGTGTCTGTTCAGCAGTAATGGGGAATAATAAGCTAAAGCATCAGGTAGATGGGGTGAGGGGGTGATGATGCAGCTCTCAGCTGGATGGGAGCTGCAAAACTGCACTCTTGCCGAAGAGAGGACGTCTGCTCTGTGCTACTGTTTTGGTGAAGCGTAGGGAGATGTGTGCCGCTGGAGAAGAGGGAGGCAATGAGGCTCTGGCTTTCAGGAAGGCTTTCACAGCCTTCTGTCTGTGAATGACTTGCCTTCTCCCTGCCATTTGTGTGAGACTAGACATTCAGGGCTTAGGCAGACTGTTTCCACTCAAGAAATAGGTTTAGACTTCTACCTCCTGAGGAAGTGACCTTCTCAGGTGCTTCTTCTCCTTAGCATTTTAGCTCCAGCGAGTGGATTGCAGGGTCCAGGGTGGGACATGACATGCAAGGGTGTTCATAAACTCTGCTGTTCCCCTCCCACCTTGTGGGGTTGCCTGTGGGAGGAGGGGGACAGCAAGGGCAGCTGGGGGTGTCTGTGGGAAGGGCACAGATTCTCTTCTGGCTCTGCAAACCCAGGGTCTGGCTGAAGGAGGTGTCTCTCTCCCTTGGGACGGAAGGTAGTGTGATACTGTAATGTCTGGCATACAGAGGCTGGCATGCTACAGTTCAGCACACCTTGTAGACCATGCTGTAGGTCAGGCCTCAAAGCGTCCTTTAGAGAAAGTGTTACAAAGCTTTTGGGGAGATTCCCCCTAAGTGATCTTATGTCCTTGGTAAAGAGGCAGCATGCACAGTTTTATCCCCTGGGTTCACTACAGCTCTTCAGTGCACTCCAGGTGTTGGATTCCTCCGTATTAATAGGTTCAGCAGATGAATGGACAAATGCATGGTGGTTGTTACTGAAGTTCATGTTTGCCAGCGCTAAGATATAGGTATCTGAAAGGACGGGTTACAACCATGGGACTTGGGTACTACTGTGTTCTGATGATTGGTAAATAACTTTGACACTGATCACTGTGGCCTCTGGTCAGTGATGCTGCATTCTTCTATGGCGCTGGAAGTTACTGTTTTTAAAATTAGACCATGAGAAGCTAGATAGGAAACGGAGTGACCTGCTTATAAGCTGCTCTTTGAGACTAGATGCAGCTGATGCATCTATAACAAGCCAGAGAGAACAGGTGCTTGAGAATGGAAGAGTATCACATTTTAGACAACAGAGGTAAACTAGAATTGCATGATTCAGGACCTGTGGCACTAGGAATATGGGCTATTGGCTTTCTGGCTTCAACTTCATAGCGCTTACATGGCATTCACAGAGGGCTGAACCTTGAAGCGGTGGAAGGTCTATAGGCTCCAATGACTGACAGCCCTCTGTAGTCTCCACAGCCAGAAAAGTCCAGATAGAAAGAAGCAAGTGGCTCTGTGCTTCAGAGAACAAGTGATAGGCAAATGTTCTGTCTTTGTTTAGAAAGTTGCATTCTTGAGGCATGAGAAGTTGGGCATGTCAGGAAAGGACTTTCATATAAATCATCCTTCTAGCAACACAAGGGGACTAGGAAGATGAATGTAAAACATACAGGCTGAGCAAACTTGATAGCCAGGAGCTTAAAGTTTTTGTTTTTTTTTTTTAAAAAAAAAAGGACAAAGCCATAAAATTCTAAGGGACCAGGAAGCTGCTTCACGTGGATTGTAGCATTGGTTCTGATCTGTAAAGCACAACTATGTTTATTGGCCAGGAGCAGAGGAAGGGCCAATTGCTATGACTTAGAGGCTGCAAGACAATACATACAAATGGCAATTCTACATTAAGTGATAGCACACTGATGAAGAGATCCAGTATCACTTGTATGGTGGCTTGCAGACTTTGGCAGTCTTCTGATGCATGGCAACTGATGTGTAGTGGCAGACAGCCAGATGGAGCTTGGAATGAGAGAACAACGGGCAAGTGCGGCCTTGGTTCCTGCAGGCAGAATGGTGAAAGACTGGTAGGACAGACTTTGCTCATCTCTGCACTTACCATGGGCAGAGGAGAAGCACATGGGTATTTAGAGTGCTGGAATCGCCCAGCTGGCAACATCTGGTGCTGGGCTGGCTCTCTGGGTGTTGCAAGGGTACTTGGATTAAGTACTGCAGATGTCAGAGCATGTAAAAGAGCTCATGCTGGAAGGAGACCACAGTCTCACAGTAGGACACCAGAAAGCTGCTGTCTATAGACAGCAAAATTAAAAATAAGGTTGCAAACTGCCCCTAGTCCCACTGAGAAAGCTGACAGCACAGATAAGATAACTAATAGAAATTTAAACTGCAGTGACTGGTGACTGTCTGACCTCACTCTGACATGATGTGATCCCCTCTGTATGAGAATGCTGTTGATGAAGCAGCAGCTGCATCTGGCTTACAAAGAGGCAAATGGCTCCTTTGAGTGAGGATGCCTGGGGTGGTCCTGGGGGAACAGTGGATACAAACTAAGACCCAGGGATACGAATTTATGATTTCAGCATGGGTAGGCAATCCAGTTTTAGTCCATGGGTAAGAATAGTACTGCAGAGGTGGCAGGAGGGGTGTGAATATAGGCTGGCAGCCAGAATGCAAGCCCCCAGGGACACGAGGTTACATGGATTATGCCTACACATGTTAGAATTATGCCATAACTGCTCTGCAAACATCAGCTCCTTCAGAAAGAGTCCCCAGAAAAAGCAGCAGTGAAATATCAGTTTAGAAGAAAATCAAACAAAGACTTGAACAGTGAGGAAAAAGAACAGGAGGAAATGCAAGGATAGTAGTCACTGAGAGAACTGAGCAAATGCATGGGACAGTGACAACTCTGTAAAGCATCTTCCCACTAGTTAGAGAACTCCAGTGACAGGAGAAAACCAGAGTATTGCACACTGTGTTTAAGAAATAGGCCAGTGTTACAAACTATTGACCATAAAGACATAAGGGGGACAAAGCACTGAAGCACTCATCGCTGTTGTGAAAGATGCAGCAAAAGCAAGTTGAGAAAAGGAAGCTGTACTATTGTCAGCTTCTGGGGATGAGAGTGCTGATAAAATAACTGAACTTGCCAACAGAGTGGATGACCAAGACCAAAAAACCCAGCAATGCTTAAAGCAAAGATTCAAAAAGTGATTGCAATAATTAGGAGGGGTTATGGGCCTTTTAGCAAAAGGTCAAATCTTGTAACAGCATTTTAACCAGCACAACAGTAGTTTGGAGGCAAAGCTGAGGAAATGCAAACTGAATTTTGACCCAGGAAATCATGTGCTGAAGAGACTTTTTTTTTTTTGCTGTAAGGTTAGCTGCTTAAGAAAATTGAATGAAACAAGCTGCTCGTCCTTGAACTGAAGTTTTAAGAAAGCCTTCTCTGTCTCATAATTTGCTCTGGAGCACCTTGAAGTGTTGTGGCGCAAAATAATGAATAGCATCAGTGCTGAATACATAGCTGCAGTGAATGTAAACTTGGGCAGCTGGTGTCACACAGGTACCGATGTCAGATGTAAGACTACACATTCTTATTTGCTCTAGCTGCTTTGCTTCGCTCTTTGCTCTATTATGTGAAAAAGCATAGCTGACACAATGCAGGAATTGTGTGGTTCAACAGTAGGACACCAGAAAGCTAGGTTTTACTGAAGACATAACTTTTTTCAGCTCATGTAAAGAGACATTGAAAGGTTTCCTGGCATAGAGAGAAAGATCATCATAATCCTTTATGAAAAGAACAAATTAATAAGAATCCCAGCAACTCCCAGCTAAGGCACCATGCTAGAAAGTGAAGGAGTACAGAGGTGGGTTGGTTCATATTCCCTTGCCATGTTTGTTATTGCAAAGGAATATCTAGAAAGGAATTATGAACTAGCAGGACAGCAACAGTATTCACGAGCTCAAACAAGATCTGGCTGCTGGAAAACTGCATCTTAAAGGTTGCACTCAGATCTTGAACTTAACTGTTATTTCTGCACTACCACACAACTGTGGTAAAAATATGCCAGGCTACAGGCAGACATTAATGTTAATGTTCCCCAAAATAACTGCCTCTTGAATAAGACCAAGGTATTAAATAGAATTACATAGCTTGGCATTTGTGACATGATCCAGGTACAGGAACTCTTTACTTCTAGAGTTATCCAGAGCAGAAGGTGGAAAACCTGAGACTTGTGCTGGGTTGAAACAAAAGCCTCTGCTACAGGCAGAAGAAACAAAAGGAGTTGAATGAGAGAATCCCTCTGATCAGCAGTGAGCGACAGTGTCTGCAACTGAATGGCATCAGGGACTGTGCTGGATTAACTGTTGCTGTAGAGTAGGGTGATATCTCTCCTGGTTCCCTTCTTATTTCTGTGGCTATAGTCTCGCTGGGAACAGTTTTAAATTCCCCTCCAAGGTCTAGCTCAGCTTGACTCTTGGCAGTTCTCACTGTGTTCCTGAGCTTCCTGATCCCTAAGCAATGGCTCGCTTTGAGAAGTCCTTGAAGTCTGCTCCCCTGTTCCCACCTAGTTCTCTGATCATCCTGATATGCAGGTTCCTTTTCCTCCAAGTAGGAGCTCTTTGGTGTTTTGGTTTGGATAGCTTCAGGTTCAGTTTACATTGATGCATATGTTATCTGGGCTTTGTCAGTGCAGCAACTGGATCTAGGATAAGTTTTTAGATCATAATAGGTATTAGGCCAGTTCCTTTACTCTGAGCTGTGCCTTGTGTCATGCTTTGGTACAAAGGCTATTTCAAAGCATCTTAAGCCACCACCTCAAAGAGGAAAGCTGAAAAGGTGGGACAGGGAAAACATAGGTGATGGGCAGGAGTCCACTTCATTAGATATTTAGCCAGCATTCCCTATGGAGCTGCCCAGGTGTAGACCACTCAGTGACAACCAGGCACTCAGTGACCTGGTTGTTCCACAATCAGGAAAACAGATTTACCATTTTTACCCCTTGTATTTCATAAATTATGGTGACCATGGATTGTATAGCTGAGAACCTACCTGTTAGGCCCAGTGTGTGGGTCCTGAGCTGCATCCTGTAGTGCAAGAAAATTAAAATCGGGCCCCCCCAAGTCCAGAATGGGATTTAAGTATCCAGCTCTAGGCTCAAGTCCCTTCCCAGGCTGAAACATAAAAGGATGGATCACAGCCCAAAATCAGCATGTGCCGGAGCAGTTCTCACAGTATTTGCCTGAGGGAAACATCAAGGGGATGTTCATGTGCTTCTGCTACTGACTTCCACCCTTCCCCCACCCCATAAGCTCAAAGTCTTGAGGTCGGGGTATGCACCTCCATGGGATTCCCTGTGAGGAGGTGGCAGGAGGTGGTCCGTGCTGCGCTGTTCTCATTGTGCTGCTTTGCCAGCACACTGTGTCACCTTAGCAACACAGCTAGGAAATTTTGAGCTCCTAAATACATATAATTATCCCAAAATGGTAAATTGAATTTGTGGGTTTTTTTTGTGCTGCTCAGTCTTGCAATGGTATGTCCTGGGAAGAGTGTCTCAAGGTCACCTACCCTTTGCCTTGTCACAGGTACTTTCCTGCCGAAGAAGGGACAGTTTGAGGAAGATGGTAAGGCTTTTGGCACAGTCCCTGAACACATGATTGCATTTTCCTATCCAGAGTGCTGCCTAGGGTAGGAGAGTGCCTGGTTTCTGGAAGAGGGAAGCCTCATAGCCCTCTATAAGCCTAAAAGGGATGAAAGGAAAGGAGCATGCTGCTTCAGGGCTCTGCTGGGTGGGGGTGTCTCCTGACACTGTACAACATTACCAGTTCCAAATGTGGAATTACAGCTCTCTGGCTTAGAGATAGTTATGGGAGAATGAGTACTTTAGATTGTTTTAGGTCTTTGGAGCTTCAACCAGTTGATGTTTAGCCTTCTCCAAGGTCAAATATTATTACCAAGTATTCTTTCTCTTTTATTGCCAAATGGGCAGGCGTACGTTTCATCAGGTAGTATCACTGTTCTTTAGCTATTACTCCTATCTCCTTTCTTTCCTGTCTTCTCCTTTTCAGGCTGCACAGTCCTTGTGCAGATCACCTCCCCCCAGCCTGGCTTCCTCTCCGCACATACCAGTGCTGCCTTACCCTCCCCTTTCTGTTCTTTTCTCTCAAAAGCGATGACCAGGGCAGAGTGCTTGCTTCCTGTTTGCGGCACACTGCCTGCTTACCGTAGTGGTCTCGCTGCGTTTGCTTTCTATGTTCTGTCTCCAAGTCGCACTGGTTCCTGCAGCTGTCTGTTGAGCTTACTCTGTCTCGGAGCAGCTTGCATCGGCACCTGGGTCTCTTCAGTGGCAGGTTAGAGCATATAGCAGCTCATAGCTTATCACAGCTCGTAGGCTCTCTCTGAGGCGAGTTCCCTTGTCAGCAGTAGCTGTATATCACTTATTACCCTGCTGCGACCTCTGGAGTTTTCATAAGCCTCCTTAGTCTTGCCTAACCTGAATGATTGGCTTTTCTTCCCCCCCCCCCCCACCCCCTTCACTGCTCATCTCCTGTTCGCTTACATTACCAAGCATACCACATCTGAGTAAAGACATATGCCAGTGCCAAGAAATGCTTAAATTCTCTGCTTGTCATGATTAACCTTCAGCCCTCTCTTGCACTCAGTTTTATCTGTTTGCAGCCTGTCAGGAACACAGATTTGCTACCCCAGGACAGCTAGTGTTGAGCCAGCTGCCGCAGTCGCTCAACGCTGAGTCTGTGCCTCCGCTTAGCGCAGCCATACCGCATGGACCAGAAGTCTGCATCGCCCATTACCTGGACTCTCAGTGGCTGATAGTGGGGGCTTTGGGAGGGAGTAGGGCAAGTATAGACCACCCCTCCCTTAACATGCTTCCTTGCTTGGACAGTCAGCACTGTAGGACCTCCCAGAGGTTTGTGTAGACTGATTGACAGGCCTGGTTGGGCTCCTCTTCAGCAGGTTTGCCTGTCTGCTCATTGAATTCTGGGTTGGGACCAGCTGTGGCGGTTGTGGGGGCTGCTCAATGAGATTTCTGGTTAGCCTAGTTTTCTTTCCACCCAGCTCTCTGGGTGCAGGACATCCCTGGTCCCTAGGTGCCTCCTTGCCTTGGGGGCACGATGGGGCAGAAGCCTGGAGGCTCCTGGAGTGCACTGCTACCGGCCCGTTGGGCAGAGCAAGGAGGGCAGCACACAGGCAGTGACGTAGTTGTGCTGAGGGGAAAAAAAATGGTTGCTGTGTGGACAGAAGTTGATTCTGCGTGTTGTAACTGGGCCACTTGTGAGCATCTCAGGCCCGTTACACAAACGAAGATGTAATTATGTTGTAGCCAATAGCCACCTGCTCCCTTTGCCTTTTGGCTGGCACAGCAGCTCCAGTTCTGCAGACTTATTTTAGATCTATTTAAATAATTTGTATTTCTTTATTTATTGACCACTTGTTTCTCACATTTCCTGGCAACTCCCTTCTGGTTTTCCAAAAGTGACCTGCCAGAGCTTGTCCCAATCTTAGTCTCGTTCAGGCTGTACTTTCTTTCCTGGGCAGAAGAAGCTTTTTACACCTTGCTCTGTTTTCCCCTCTCCTCCAGCTTTTGTTTCCTCATGTTTGCACTGGGAGATGTTTGTTCTGTGGCAGGTTTTTCTCTCAGCAGCTTTTTTGGTCCTTGCATGCTTTTTGTCCCAGCCTTGACCAGCAGGCTGAGCCTGCCCAGAAGATATCCTGCCTGAGGCATGTTATGGTCCTCTTAATACCACTTTCTTCCAGTCCTAATACCTGCACATTAATCGAAACTCATTTAAGAGTGAACATTGATCTTCTGCACTACAGAGAAAGGTGTCAAAAATAGTCCACAGGACTACATCGCAGTTATCCTGAAAGAGTCTTTGTAGTCAACTTTGTTTTCTGGTGCTTTGCCTCGCTGGTATCTCTCCTTCCTGATCTGCAGGCCAGTAGCATGTCCCTTCTGGTAGGATTAATAATTTTTTTTCTGTCACCCAGGTTCTACATAGTCCTCACCTTCAGCATCCCCTCCAAGGACATCTCTGCATGGCTGGCACAGTAAAGCTTGCCTGTCCTTTTCTTCCTTGGTAGTTCAGAGGCAGGATTTGCAGAATCCCTGCTGAGTGCTGAGTTGAGCTGTGTTCCCTGTCCCGCTCGCATAACCCATTGGAGCATGGGCAGGTCTAATCCCTTGCTCCCCTGTGTCCTTGCTGCAGGTTGCTCCTGTGTGTGAGACACTGGGAGAGGACTCCACAGTGCATAATGGTTTCTCTGTCCCCTCAGGAGTCCCAGCAGGATTTGTGTTGGCAGTTAAGCTGGTGATGGCGAATAAGAGCTAAGAAACAGCTCTGGCTGCCACCTTGTTCTCTTTGCAGGACACAGTGGTGTCCTGGGTGGTCTTGTACAGGCTGCCTGAGGTAAAATTCCCCAGATATTCCCTGGGGTTCAAACTGCACTATGGAGGAGTGCAATTTGGAGTGGAGGAGCAGGCTTGCCTCCTTCTGGGGCACTGGGTGTTTCTCACTTTCTTGGTAGCTCTAGAGAGATTTGTCTCTGAGTACAGGATGTGCCTTGCAGTATGGTGCCCTATAGGCATGGGGAAGTGCATCTGCTTTCCCTCGTTCACACCTGGTTAGATGTTAGATTGTGGAATACACTTGACTTGTGCCATGTGGGTTATAATGGGCCATATCTCTGTTTCCCTCTAGCCTGCGGAGCTGTTTCCCCTGCTATGATGCCAGGGCAGATTCCCGACCCGTCCCTGACGGCTGGTGCACTGCCTGGGCTCGGCCCCTTGACGGGACTGCCTGGCACAGCCCTCACTGCGGAGGAGCTGAAGTACGCTGACATCCGTAACATCGGGGCTATGATCTCGCCACTCCACTTCCTGGAGGTGAAGCTTGGGAAGAGACCCCAGCCTGTGAAAAGTGAGGTGAGTCCTGGGGCTGTGGACAGCCCTGCAGACGGAGAGCAGGGGAGAGAGCTGTCACCCACACACAGCCTGCCCCATGTCCCCCTCCTGTCTGTGCTTGGGTTTTTTGCCAGGGTGGCTGGTGAAATGTTGTACAAGTTACTTATGCTGCCTCTTTGGTGATGTGCATGTGTGTTGGCAGCTGGACCACCAGCCTCATCCTCCTGCTCCCTGCCCTGCACCTTATTGTTGAATTTCTGTCCCTGTAGCATGGGCTGGGAGTGGAGGCCTTGGTGTCCCAGGCCTGGTTGGTCCCTTGCAACCTTTGGTAACCAGCTAAGTTTGAACTTGGTCTATGGAGCAGGGTCTGACACAGCCAGCCTTTGCCTAGGCTGGGACAGGCCTCCAAAGGAGGAGCTGTGCATCCTGTCAGAGGGCTTGCATGAGAGGAGCTTGCATCCTGTCTCCAGTGAAAATGAGCTCTGGTGCTACTGGTGTTGACATTGCCTTTTCCACTGGGATGAGGTGTGTGGGAGAGCAGTGCTTAGTGGGAGGCAGTGACTCGCTTTTGCTGCAGGCCCTGCTGGCAGGGGCTGCCTCTCTGGCCTGCTGCTGGGGAAGGGCACGGGCTTTATCTCAGGGCTCCTGGAAAGGGAAAGGCGGGCAGCTTCTGCTCGTACCCCAAGCTGTCACATCAGAATTAAACTACAGGGACTTGAGACATTTGCACAGCATTTTATTTTTGTGGTTGTCTCATATTTTGGTTGTCTATGCTGACTCCTCAAACCTCACTGTATGGAGCTATTTAGAATTTGCATCTCCCATTCCCTCAAATGGAGTGGGAAATCCATCAGTCTAGAGGCCCCAAAACTGTGAGTGGCTTCTGTCAGCAGGTCCAGTAAGCAAACCTTTTTGGTCCATTTGTTTCTGTGAGAATATTTTGGGCAGTCCCACATGAAGATAAGGTGTTGTGCATTGTCTGGAGATGCTTACATGATGTGAAGTGACCCGTGATGATGCAATCAGCTGAAGAGAGCGAAATAGCAGTACAAAGGAACAGCCCAGTGCCTGAGCAGGTGCTGATGGTTGCTTTGGCCTTAATTCTTATGGTAAGAGCTCAGCAGCACCCAGGCCTACCTTCAGGGAGGATGCCTGTTCCTTCCTTTCCCCCCTGTTCCTTATGGTAGATTCCTGCTGGGAGAACCAGTACGATAGAGTCCAGCAGATGACCTTTCACTGGAGCTCTGTACCCAAGATGATGTCAAATTAGCTCCTCATATAGCACAGAGCCATGTGAAGCTCACCTGGGTGAGCAGCGCAGGGCACGTTGGCAGCTCTCTAACAATAGGGGCTGAGGCTAGGAAGCTGGAGGATGCTATCAGAAGGGCTCAGGAATGCTAAAGGCTCTGCTTGCTCTATCAGCAGGGCAGCTGAATTGGCAGCTGAAGCTAAGTGCTACCCGACCTTTTGGCATGCTGCTTTTGCGGCAGCTTGAACTGCAGATTCCAGGGAAGCCTTGCAGCTGGCTGGGGATATGCTAGCTGGCTGGGTCTGGCACTGGGGGTTGGGGAGAGGTGGTGGCTCTGGCCTGTGGATGGGAGTGCGGTAAAAAGGCATGATATAAGCAGTAAAGAAGAGCTGTGTAGCTTTGTAGCTATGTGGCTGAGAACATTGGATGTCATGTAACAGGAGGTGCGAGAACCATGTAGCCTTATGCATTGGGGAAGAAGTAGGGAGCCTGTCTATAGGCTCTGTGCCATCTTACCAGGACACAGCCTCTCCTGGGGAGTCTCGGGCACCTCTGAGGATGGCCCTGCAGCTGCTGTTTGCCCTTGGCACCTCTAAGCATGGGGATGTGGTCTCATTAGGCCCTGTGTAACAGGGACAGGGTGGTTCTGCCCCACAGCAGGCACTGAAAGTGCTGAGAGTCCTCCAAGCCAGTCTTTCAGACACTATGTGGAGGAAAGAAAAGGAGAAATCCATTGGCAGGCTCTGACCAGCCCCTAGATGGGTGCCATCCCTGCAGCATGTCCCTTCCCTGCATGGCCTGTGAAGCAGAGGAGTTGAGGACAGCAAAGAGAGCTGCCCCTGGCACATGTTTTGCTGAGAAAGCCTGAGAGAGCTGAAGCAGTAGCTGCTTATTCCATGAGTAGCCAGGAAGCAACCCACACACAGCGCTGCAATGTGGCCTGCAGCCTCTTTCCTCTTGTGGGGCCCTGGAGCCCGGGGTGCTGGGTACTGGCAGGCCACATTCCTCTCTGGGTCAGGCTTGGGAAGGCTGGCTCCTCCTTGCCAGAGGAACAGGCAGTTATGGCCACTGTACTGGCAGGAGAAGCATCTTCTGTCAGGGGTGTGTGCCTGTATGAGCATATAGAAAGTGTGGTGGGTGCTGAGAATGAGGCTGGGTCCCAGCTCCCCTGTAGGGTTGTAGAGAGCCATGCTGGGTGGACTGCCCTCCTCGCTGGTCTAAACCAGTGCAGGGTGTTCCCTCAGGGACAGAGGTGGCAGTCCTGGCCTTCAGGCTGATGGAATTCATCTTTGTCCCTAATAGCTGCAGACTGAAAGAATTCAGGAGACAACTCAAAGCCACCACACCACTGTGCTCCCTTGGAGCTGAGCTACTGAAACATGTTATGGGCTGATACATCATTGCCATCCCTTGTGTTTCTAACCTGAGCCAAGTCCCAGCCTCCAACACCAGAGCCATGTGACCTTTTTGAGCAGAAACGGAGGCAGAAAAGGAGATCTTGAAGTCACAGGAGCTGTGGACAGAAAAAGGCAGAGCCAGGATTTCAGACTTCTGCTGTTTGTGCTGAGCCACCCTCCTTGAGCAACTGTAGGCCCCATGTAATATGCTGTTTGCCAGGCCCTCTGTGGGGTGGAGGAGAAGCTCTTTTACTGATGTGTGTGATATGGACAAGGTCATTTGTTTTTCCCATTCAGGTGAAATGAAGCAACAGGGCATGGAAATGTGTCAGTCAGTTCCCAGAGAGACAGCAAGGCTTGTGCTTTTGCTCTTGCTTCCAGTCCCTGGTATAACCAGGGATCTGCTTTGCAGGAAATCTTTGAGCACATGTTCCCTCTCTGCACCCTTTTCCTAGTAACTTCTTGGCTATTTTAATTCAAGGATTATCTAAGGGGTAGAGGAGTGGCTGGTAAGCGTGCAAAGGAGAACCATGACTGTCCTGAAGTCCACCTCATCTTGCGGCTCTTCCCAAATCTGTGCAGGGTTTCTATGTCTTCATGGGTAGTATCTGGACTCTTCCAGGAGGCCAGAAGGAAAGAAGTCAGCAGAGCATGGAGTTAGAGCCTTCCTGTTCACTTCTGCTAATACAAGCGATGTCTGAGTTACATGGATGTAGTGAGAGCTGGCACCTTCTAGCTGGCCCTACAATTCCATCGCTACAGTTCCAACCCTGGTTCTCACAAATGCGGTGCATCTATATTGGTGTGATATCCCAAGTGCTGTCTTGGCAGAGGAACGGATGCAGCCTGACATTGTGTGAAGTCTGTGTGTACCTTTGGCTGACTTTGCTCTGTACTTCACTGCCATCTAAAATAGCAACCTTGGTATCATGACTGAAGTAAAGTGGAGAAGATAAACCTATTAGTGCTATAAAACTTACTGATTGTCCTCTAAAGCCAAACATTAGATGTGCTCACCTAAGGAACACCTTCACCTTAACTCTGCCCAGTTTTTCATCCTGTCCTTGAATGTCACACTGAGATATTTTGAGAGGGATTTGGACTCAGTGAAGGTTAGCAGCTTGCACAGTTTGCTATGGATGATGGAGCTTGTAACTGGTTTCCTGGAGGCACCACAGGTGTACCTGTGTGTCTGGTATAGTCTGGTGCCCCCCAGCTTTGTGTCCTCGCTATTTAAAAATCTCTGACTTCCCTTCTGAGGTCCTTAAGCCCAGGTGCTAGAACACCACATCACTTGAGTCAGTTCAGATGGTGTGTGCTGCAAGAGGCTCGTCTAGGAGATGTGCCCCTTGACCACATTGCCCCAGAGAACTATGAAAGGAAGGGCACAACTGCCTTGTCAGTGGCTGTTATGCAAATAAACAGTGGAAGTGATTGTGAAGCAAGCGTTGCTGCCACTGCATTTGAAAAGGTGTATGAAGGAAAAGAAACCAGGCAGTTCAGTGTGATGTCTTGGGTTTGGGAGTCCCAGGCTGAATGTGGATGAATATTGTTTATGGGGCCTCAGGGCACTTGAGCCATTTTCCCTGCAGCCTCACAGCAAAGTCTAGCTTGAGTGTTGAATTCACAGGTCTTTCTAGCACTCAGATTTCCTTGAAAGGAGCCAGTTTGGGTTCTCAAACGTAAGCATGCCATAGGCCTTTTACACAGGCTTTGTAGTAATACCCCAAATACTTTGATTATGGGTTTCTAAGCCATGTGGCGTATGGTCTGGTCTGTGTGGTTTGAATAAAATAGCACAGATAGCAACTGAGTCATGGCAACTGAGATGCTACCTTGTCGTGCCCTGCTGTAAGGGACATGGGACCTGTCTCCACCTTACTGCAGTTGGCTGTTTTCTGGCCAGTGAAAGACATAGGCAGACAACCAAATATACTGGAAGCAGGGAAACAACCAGAACCAATTGTGGGCTCTTTCAGGTGTCTGCCTCTCTTGGCCTCTGCCTGATGCTTTGAATGACTTGGTGCTCACTGTAAGCTGTGCCCATAGATGTCTGTGACAAATTGTGCCTGTCTCTTGCTGGAGGATCTTGGGTGCATGGGGCTCTTTCCCCCGTGTTTTTACCCCTTTCTGAGGAGGAGGCAACACTGCAAACACTACCCTTGCCTGTTCCCTGCCACCTGCCTCCTGAGGGCTGCTGTGGACGATCCCAAACTGTGGCTTAAAATACTGCTCTGGTCTCCTTTCTCATGTCCCCAAAAAGTTGAGTTAGGGGTTGTGGCAGCAGTGCACCTTGTTCCTGGTAAGGATTTGTCCATGTCACTAGTGAAATGTGTCTGCCTCCCTGACCACTGGTAGGAGAAGAGGGCACCAGCAGTGCTGTGTGCAGGTGGCTGCTACCCTTCCCCTTGTCCTGTGCCAGCTGGGGTGCCAGGGTGCATGCTCACTGCCTCTTCCTCCAGTCCCCACATCTGACGGTTCTGCCCTGGGCCTCTGTCTTGTTGCAGCTGGATGAGGAAGAAGAGAGAAGGAAAAGACGCCGGGAGAAAAACAAAGTAGCAGCAGCACGGTGTCGTAACAAGAAGAAGGAGAGGACAGAGTTCCTGCAGCGGGTGGGTGCCCTGCCTTGTCCCCAGGGTGCACTTGGGACTTCCACATGGGTTACTCCTTAGGCCATGTGGTACTCTACCTGCAGGGAATGCTCCTTCCTGAACTGACCCTCTGCCTCTCCTTGCTCCTGTGTCCCCATCTGAGAAGACCCAGACCAGTGGCCCCCACTTTCATCCTGCTTGTGAAGGTGGTGGCCTTGTGTGCCCAGTCAGAGCTCCTGGGTGTTCTTGCACCTGTGACACAGGGGACAGAGAGGCCTAGAGGGGTTGTGGGGGGAGGGCTCTGGGCTTGGAGGAGAGAGCATCTCTGCTGCAGTGCTGGAGGAGGAACACCCATGGGTATGTGACACAGGATATGCGGTGGCAGCAGGCTGGCCCTCTGCACAAACTCCTAGAGGTTCCCTGCTCAGAGCCCAGACAAGCTCTTGCTGTGAGCCCAGGGCAGAAAAATACCTCCAGCACCCACCTTGCCAGCTTTTCCGTAAGGGGTTGTTGGACGTGGGCAAGCGATTCAGTTGGGCACAAGGAGCTGTTTCACAAGGGCAGGTCTGTGCAGGGAGGGCTGGGTGAACCTTGCAAAGATGAAAAATGCACTCATTTCAGCCCCTGCAAATGCTCTGCCAGGCAGACCATTAGCTGTTGTGCAGCAGAGACCTGTCCTAGGAGATGGCTGGATGTTTCTAGCACTGACAGTAGGTAACGCAAGGTAATGGGACTGGGTATGATCTGCCTGGAAGAACCTGATGTCACGGCAGGTCTTCAGGCTGCTCCTATGCTGCAAGGACTAAGGAACAGTACTGAGCAGAGGTGGCTGGTTTTCAAAATTATTTCTCCTTGCATGTTGTCCTGTAAGAGTGAAGTCCATATGTGGTTGTGTTTCCGGCCCTGCTAGGAGTCTGAGCGTCTGGAGCTCATGAATGCAGAGCTGAAGGCCCAGATAGAAGAGCTGAAACAAGAGAGGCAGCAGCTGATCCTGATGCTGAAAAGGC